GAATGTTCCAGTGAGGGGGCATCATGTCTTGAGCTGTTGTTGGCCCTCCTCTCTGTGCCCCCTCATGGGGCTAACCAAGAAGGGAACATAACAGATCAACAACAGGAGCAAAGCAAAGCCACAAAACCCCCAAGGAGCCCCCAAAATTGACTTCAGGCTAGGAGGGACAGTTCCCAGAACCCCCCAGGACCAGTGGGGAGATAGTCATGAAAGTCAGTGGACCAACCTGGAATTATGTATCCTTTTCCAGGGTTTTTTGCTAGTTAATTTTTCTTTTTATCTTTTTTTATTCTATCTTCTGTTTTCTTTTTGTTTTGTCTCTGTTATTGTTGTTTTGCCTAACATAAGATAGGCCTGGGAAGCAAACCCGCAGAGAAAGCAACAGGACCAGTGGTTCTGCAGGGAACTGGGGGGAGGAGGAGGTGGAGGAAAGGACTGGTGAACAAACACCATAGACGGGGACAACTAAGGAATTAAAAAAATGAGGAGGATGTAGAGATTCCGGTGGTGTTGGAGCAACAGCAATCTAGCTGAGAGGAATTAAGAGGTAGAAGAAGGGCGAGCATGATGGTGGAAAAGGAGGAAAGATCTAGGAAGCAAAGCTATGGATACAGGTATAAACAGGTGTGCACATGTATAAATATATTAATTCATAAAAATAGAGGTAATGGTTTATGTACATATATTTATATGGCAATACACTGAGGAAGTGGTCAGACTTTGGGCCTCTGCTCAAGCCCTTCCTCAATGCAAGAACACTTTGTTCTAACAACCCGGCATTCTGTGATGCTCATCCTCCTGGCATGATCGCTGAAGACAAAATGGGTATATAAGCAAATATGGTGAAGAAAGCTGATGGTGCCTGGCTAACAGAAGATATAGTGTCTGGGGTCTTAAAGACTTTAAGTTAAACAAGCTGCCATCTAGCAGAGAAGCCACAAGCCCATATGGAAGAAACACACCAGCCTGTGTGATCATGTGGTGTTGATGGGATCAGGTAACAAGCACCAGAAGACCCAATACAAACAAACAAAAAATATTGTTGAGAACGAGGGGGTCAAAGCAGAGACACCACACCCATCTGTAGACAGTAGGACATCCCCTCACAGAAGGGTCACAAGGACGGGATGCGTCATCCAGGATGCCGTATAACACCAATGAAACAATATTCCTCTGGTTCTTTGAGGCTTCCTTAACCCCCACCATCATAACCCCAGTCCTGCCTTTCAGTTCTGGCTAGACCAGAGCATGTACACTGGTACAAATAAGAGCTCACGACACACAGAATCCAGGTCAGATAAACCCCTCAGGAAGAGAAATGGGAGTAGCAATACCAGGAGAGTAGGGGGAAGGTGGGGATTGGAGGGGAGGAAGGGGAAACCTATCACATTGACGCATAATCCCCCTGCCCTCAGGGGGATAAACAACAGAAATGTGGTGAAGGGAGAAAGCAGTCAGTGTAAGATATGAAAAAATAATTTATAATTTATCGAAGGTCATGAGAGTAGGGAGAGAGAGGGAAAAAAGAGGAGCTGATACCAGGGCTCAAATAGAAAGTAAATGTTTACAAAATGATGTGGCTACTTATGTATACATGTGCTTGATACAACTGATGTAAAGAATGTTGTGAGCTGTTAGAGCCCCCAATAACATGATTTAAACAACAACTCACTGCCATCAAGTCCATTCCAACTCATGGAGACC